AGGTGAAACCCTAATTCTCTGCTTAGGCCTTAAGCAACTCATGGAGTCCCTTTAGAAAGCCATTGGACGAAATCCATATGGGCTTCCCATAGATTTCGTCCAATCCCCTTTCCATTAGGAATCTATAACCCAATTGCAACTATCATATAATTGCAATATCAATCCCCTTTATTTAATTAATCACTTTTAGTCACAAAACTAATTCTTAATTAATTATTGACTAATATTAATTAAACAATATGATTTCTCCTTTAATATATTATTCTTATAATATATTAATAAATCATAATTAATCCTCTTTCTCCTTAGTTCATCCTATCGGTTTCTATGGTGAAGGCAACCCAAATGGACCATGCTCACAATCGGATCAAGTACATAACAAAATAGTTATGGGCTTAGACACCTAATCAACCAGTCTCCCACTTGGATAAGTCTAATAATATTTTGCATATGACTACAGAATTTGATCAACAATCGTAGCTTTCAAAAGCCGTTGTTAACTCTGATCTTATCAGTAACACATCCTTTACGTAAGGGATCATATATTCATCCATTCTAGATATCGTATGAACTGAGACATGGATTTTAATCATACTCAATGTTCATGTGTTGTTTCCCGATTTCTGATTTATGACAACTGACAACAGACTACAATTGAACACATCAACTTAGTCCCGGCTTGGCCAAGCGCTTAGGGTGTCATCATTAAATCATCGAGGGGCCCACATATATCACTTTTATCCCACTTTGGGTAAAAGGAACGGATAAAGTTCGACTCAAATGCTCTCTTGTACATACTCATCAAATCACATACAACAATATGTTTTATAACACAAAGTTACTGGTGCGTTTACATATTATCAATGTGAAACCGACTTGTAGAATACAACTCACACATCTCGGTTTCAAGAATATAAAATATTATCTTCTCACCAGTCACTCGTGATAAAATCCATGAAGCGATCCAAGTGAGCATGGGTTTAATCCAATACTCTAATCTTATAGGAGCACTCATGAACCATGCAACAAACTTTTGTTATGTCTAAAATGCTTGATACAGTCTACAGTCAGATTCATGACAATATTCTTTCATACCTACTTCCAACGTATGAGCGACTGTGGAGGGTTTGAATAATTTGGGAAGTCAAAACATGCAAAGTGAAACACAAGAATAATACTTAATCCTATATGACCCCAAATTTTTGTGTATAAATAAGACACATTTATTTAATCACCATATTGATTACTCATTATTTGTTGTTTTGGGTAATCAACTTATTACTTGAATTATAACAACAGTTGTCCCATGCACCAAGCATGCACACTTACTTTGTGAAATAGATCAATTGAAAATGTTTCCAATGATGATCATTTCAAAATTCCTAATCTTTATCACTAGTGTAAGAATACCAGATTCTTCCCACTATTAGAATATGTTAGATTCTAACATTTTATGCAACGACCATTTTGTAATCTTATTGCACAAAAGTCACCAAGACTTTGCCAATGAAATTACAAAGTGCTCTATTGGGATTGTTACAAGACAATTCCATAGATGTGAAGCCTCACATTCAAAGTACATTCCTTTGAACATCATTCTTGCATAAAAGTTTCTAATCTAGACATAGATTCTCAATATCCAACTCTCAATATGGAAACATTTCCATATTTGCCATGAGACAACTCATTCTTAATAGATGCCTATCTATTCATAATAATGTCAATATGACCCATCCATTACTATACTTCCAGCTATCCACAAGCGACCAATCTTTGGAGAACCTTAGATTGTCCTTAATAGTTGTTTAATTAATTTAGTCAAATCCGGTTCTAGTCTTTTTTACCTCTTAATGCCCTATGCATTTGGAAAATTTAGAACGTTCAAATATTACAACATATACAATAGATCCTATACCCGAAGCGTATAGGACACGATTCATGATGAAAAAACGTGATACTTTATCTATTTCTTGCTATAATATTGCCATATATAGAATTCCTTTATGTTGAATCTTTTCAACATAACATGCACATATGTTCTTTGACTAAATTCGATTAAAATTTCTCGATCCAAGCTTTTAGATTTTGAAACAAAGTATAATATTCTCTCCCTTAATTATAGAAAAACAATTTTTCAACCCCTGCAACTTTGCAAAGTGAAACCTTTTGTTTTCTGTAATTAATATTGCTAACTTGCAACACTTAAAATAATAATCATGCTCCCACTAACATGATAATCAAATCCATATCAACATAACACTTATGCTCCCACTAGCTTTGACACGTATTCAGAAAACGGTTGGACTTCTAGAAAGCAATACTTATTGGCTTCCAAAGTTCATATTTCTAATACGATATGCTTTAATAAGCCTTTATCTAAGATTCTCAAACTCATACACCTTCCCTGAGATAGCTCATATGTGCGTCTAAACAATTTTAGCACTTATAGCAATAAGTCTCAAATGTTCAAAATAACACCAAATCTCACAATTCAAACTATGAAAAGGGATGTTGTAATCATAATCAAATTTGAGAATGCAATTTACACAATCACTCTCCTTAAAATCTCTCTTAGTGAAAGCGTTTCCTCACAATCATTTTTATGAAGGAGATAAATCTTACGACACTTAGATTTTATGGTGCATGTGTTCCTATCCATGTAAATTTGTCATAACCATAATCATAAGATAATGTTTGCGACAAATCCAAACTCTTATGGACAGAACTTGTGCATTCTTAATTTCTTCCTATCAAGGGTCCCACCATTACTTCCAAGTGAAACCCTAATTCTCTGCTTAAGCCTTAAGCAACTCATGGAGTCCCTTTAGAAAGCCCTTGAACGAAATCAATATGGGCTTCCCATAGATTTCGTATAATCCCCTTTCCATTATGAATTTATAGCCCAATTGCAACTATCATATAATTGCAATATCAGTCTCATTTATTTAATTAATCTCTTTTAGTCACAAAACTAATTATTGACTAATATTAATTAAACAATATGATTTCTCCTTTAATATATTATTCTTATAAAATATATTTAAATCATTATTAATCCTCTTTCTCCTTAGTTCATCCTATCTATGTTGAAGGCAACCCAAAAGGACCATGCTCACAATCGGGTCAAGTACATACCAAAATAGTTATGAGCTTAGACACTTAATCCAACAGACTGAGAACCGGTAGCAGTAGTGGCTGAGAGCCATTGGTAGAGTGCCAGTAGATGATATGTATGATTGTTATGTATGTTGTATTTATATGGATATGAGAGTTGACAAATCGACACTAGAGCCAAGGGATTCGCTTGTATGTATTGTATGTAACTTTGTACGGTAGAATATGTGGTATATTGAGGAACTCACTAAATTTTATGTTTACAATTGTGAATTAAATGTTTTCCAGATTGTTTGTGAGAAGAGTTCGACGGGACTATGCACTCGCATCGAAGATACTGGTTTCCGTTGTTTTGTAATTCAACTTTGTTTCAAACAGTTGGACGTTATATCATGATTTCAAGTAAAAGGGTTTTAATTGTTTTATCTATTTTGAAATGAAAAATCTCTTTGTAAAATTTGGGAACTATACAACTTATTGGATAAGGGTTTGAAGGTAGCTCACAAGTGGGCATTAGGTATAGAAAGAATTTAATATTGAGTTTGTAGTGAGAGAATTGTTGTTGGAATTGAATTTCAGGAATTAGTATGCAGATTGGATGTTCTGAAATGGTTGTTGTTTTTGTAAACCAATTGTATGATTTTCTTCCTTTTGAATCAGTAGCACGACCTTTCCCATGGCTTAATTTTAATTTGATTTTGCAATATTGTGAGAAATAATATTGTGAAAGATGATGTAAAATGGTTAAATTTTGTATTTATATATACATTTTTTTCTTAAAGAAAATCTAGTTGTTGGCAACGGTTGAAAGGTGGAAGGAGTTTCGGAAAACAACCCGAAAATGAGTCTTTCCCATGAATCCGAGGAGGTCGGGCAGTGTTCCCAACAGGTCCGTTCTCACCCTTAGCAAAGTACAAAGCTTCCATCGTTAAGAAAGATTATTGTTAAAAAATAAATAATAATAATAATAATAATAATAATAATAAAATAAAAATAAATAAATAAAAACATTACAAAGGTGTTTGTCAAAAAATACAAACCATCTAATAGACAACTGTAATGGCTAATAAGTGACATGCAAAATAGGATGAGAATCTTTTTTTTTTTAGAATAAGGGTAAAGATAATTTAATGCCGTATATATACAAATTTACGTTTAAATGATAAGGTATATATGTAAATATTGTGTTTTTAGTAAAACAAGTTTTTACAAAGAAATTTTTTGTTTCTTTTCCAGTTTTACCAACAAAATCAACATGTGACTTGTAACAACAAAATCGCTTTCAAAAATAATAATTCATGCTGCCTTTTATATTTTATAAAAGGTTATCTATCGATTTAAATTATGTTATATATATTTTTTGAATTGTATAGTCTACACATTTATAAGTTATAAATGTTAATCAAGAATGATGATGTAATTAGTCATTCCACACAACAATGCTAATCATTCAACAATCAAACTTCATATATGAATAACATTAAAGAATCATGAAGTAACATTATAGAATCAACATTACAACATCAAAAACATAAATTAATTGCACTTTTAGATGTTAATCACCATTGAAGAAGCACTAAGCGAATTTGTTTTTTGTTTTATTGTTAATCCGGTCCGATCCGGTTCTCCGGGTCATACTCAATTACTCATATCTATTTATAACTTTCTTCATCTTACACCAAACAAATTTATGTAATGTAATTTCAAATATTTATTTATATATCATCTTAGAAATTCAATCAGTCAACATATATTTCCTGAATATAGTCAATATACCAAAAGCAGACAAACAACACTGGCCCACACTCCGTCACCCCTTCCATGACTTCAAATATATTTCATCTTCTTCATCACCATTCCTGATTCCACACACCACCTCGATAACAATGGCGTCTCTGCTATGGCTCTGCGTCCTAGCAGCCGTCATTCACCCCTCATCCGCTGCCAAACAAACCTACATTGTGCAAATGAAGCACCACCAAAAACCCACATCATACCTCACCCATTCCGATTGGTACTCCCATCACCTACAAGCTCTCACCTCCGCCACCCATGACGCCCTACTCTACACCTACACCACCGCCTACCACGGCTTCGCCGCTTCTTTAGATCCTCAACAGGCTCAAGCACTTCGGGAATCGGATTCCGTCCTCGGAGTTTACGAGGACACAGTTTATCAGCTTCACACCACCCGAACCCCGGAGTTTTTAGGGATAGAGAACGAGTTGGGATTCCTGACCGGTCAAACGCCTCAACAATTCAGCGTTGCTAGCAACGACGTCATCATCGGAGTGCTTGATACCGGAGTTTGGCCTGAGTCGAAGAGCTTTGACGACTCCGGGATGCCCGCCGTGCCGACGAGGTGGCGAGGTGAGTGCGAAGAATATGAAGATTTCAAGGCGACCTTATGCAATAAGAAACTGGTAGGTGCCCGGAAGTACTACTACGGGTTTCGTAAGGCAGCCGAAGTAGAGATAATGAAAGAAAAACCCACACCCCGTGACTTAAATGGCCACGGCACTCATACGTCATCTACAGCGGCGGGGTCTCAGGTGGGTAACGCCACTCTGTTTGGGTATGCTACCGGCACGGCGCGTGGAATGGCGGTCCACGCAAGGGTTGCTTCTTACAAAGTCTGTTGGAGATTAGGCTGTTTCAGTTCCGATATCCTTGCTGCCATGGACCAGGCCATCTCCGATGGTGTAAATGTGTTATCAATGTCTCTCGGCGCCGGTTCTATGCCTTATTATCACGACCCGATTGCAATCGGCGCGTTTAAGGCTATGGAAATGGGTGTGTTCGTGTCGTGTTCCGGTGGAAACTCGGGCCCTGCAAAGTCGTCAATTTCCAACGTCGCGCCATGGATAATGACAGTCGGTGCCGGGACTCTCGACCGCGACTTCCCGGCTTACGCTGTGTTAGGAAACGGCAAACGGGTTACCGGCGTATCCTTGTACAGTGGGAAAGGAATGGTGGATAAACCGGTGGAATTGGTTTATAACGCCGGTAAACGGAATAACAGTTCGAGTAAATTGTGTCTACCCGGGTCGCTTGAATCTGATCTCGTCCGTGGTAAGGTGGTTTTCTGTGACAGAGGACTGAACCCTCGAGCGGAAAAGGGTATCGTGGTGAAGGAAGCCGGCGGGGTCGGAATGATACTAGCGAACACGGTGGCGAATGGGGAGGAACTGGTGGCGGACAGCCATGTATTACCAGCGGTAGCGGTGGGGCGAAAGGTCGGCGACGAGATCAGGAAGTACCTGAAAACAGAGGCGAAACCGACAGCGGTATTAAGCTTTGGTTGGACTGTGTTGGGGGTGAAGCCATCGCCGGTGGTGGCAGCGTTTAGCTCGCGTGGTCCTAACAAGATAACACCTGAGATACTGAAACCAGACGTGATCGGACCTGGAGTTAACATTTTGGCTGGATGGTCCGGCGCTAGCGGACCTACCGGAATAAGTTCCGATGACCGGATAACACAGTACAACATAATGTCAGGCACCTCCATGTCCTGCCCACATATCAGCGGCTTAGCAGCACTCCTGAAAGCGGCACATCCCAAATGGAGCACAAGCGCCATCAAGTCCGCCCTCATGACCACCGCATACACAGTGGACAACACGAAATCGCCGCTACGTGATGCCGCCGGAGGCCAAGCTTCTACACCTTGGGCCCATGGAGCAGGTCATGTGGACCCACATAAAGCGATTTCTCCGGGGCTTGTGTATGATATATCAACGAAAGAGTATATCGCGTTTTTGTGTTCCTTGGGGTACACCATGAAGCAGGTGGAAGCGGTGGTGAACCGGCCGAATGTTACTTGTAGCCGGAGATTTAGGGATCCGGGTCAACTGAACTACCCTTCGTTTTCGATTGTTTTTGGGGAGTCGAGGGTGGTGAGATACACGCGGCGGTTGACGAATGTTGGACCGGTGGGGGATGTAAGTTATGAGGTGGAAGTGGAAGCACCTGAAGGTGTTGAAGTAATGGTGAGACCAGAGAGGGTTGTTTTCAAGGAGGTGGGAGAGAGGGTGAGGTATACTGTTACCTTTGTGTTGAAGAAGAAGAAGAAGAAGAAGGGTAGAGGTGGTCATGGTTTTGGCTCTATAACTTGGAAGAATGGTGAAAACCGAGTTAGGAGCCCTGTTGCATTTACTTGGGTATAGTATAGTCATTTAGTCAATAGTCTATATATCGCGTTACTGTTTATTGTTATTAAGAAGACATGGGATATATCTTTTCTTGAATGAAATGTGGAATTTAAGTTACAAGTATTGCAATTAAAAACATAACAAAAACTTAATATATTTACATAGTAGATTAACTACATAGTGACCCACTCACACAATAGATGATTGATCTTTTTGTATTTAAAGGAATTTTGTTTCATTTTTCCCAATTGGATACTTTAATTTCTTTTTTTTAAATAAATTATCTTTCAACAAGACTTTGTTTCCACAATACTAAACTTCCCTTTGCTACAAAACTTATCTATCAAGATTCTTACAATAACTAATGATGAGAAAAAACCATGAGTCAAACAGGACTCGATATCACAACTCGAGTTGACCAAGAAAAAACGTATTTTCAAGTTAATTCAAATAGATTAATTATTAAGATGTTGTTTGTTTGTTTTTTTTTTTTTTTTGTCCGTAGATCTTCTTGGTCATCTGTACAAACCACACACGGACATTAGGCTTTGCTGACTGTTTATTTTTTTAAAGACTGCAGATCTAAAAAGGTACTGTACGATCTCTTTTTGGTGCAGATGTGGACCAGAGTCTTCAAACATCTTCAGACATCTTCTAGTATATAAAAAACATATATATCTTTATATTTTAACTGGGATTTATTACAACTTTATCTTTTATAAACGAGCAGTGGCGGATGCCTTTAAGGGCCAGGAGGGGCCACGGCCCCCCTGATTTTTAGATTTTTATTATCAAAAGATTATAAGATAATTTGTTATTTGAGAATAAAACAACGATTGGCCCCTCCAATAATTTTGAAAATAGGTAACAAAATTTTTATGGCAATGTAATCAACAACACTGACTAGGAGATAAGTGCATGTTTGGAAATTGGAATAATATCTTATTTAAGATTAGATACATGTGTTTACCCTCATAAAAATGAGAAAATTAAAGAAATAAATTATCTTATTTCCATATAATGATCCGTTATAATCAATAAGATAAAATAGGAGTTAAAATAGAAGAAAAATGGTTGCAGAAAATAGAAAAAAAAAACCATTAAAAGTTCAAACAAGGTGAACAACAGATCTTAAATGCTGAATGAGATGCATCGCCTTTCATCGGAGAACATTAACACTGTCTGCTTTCACCTTTGTCGTCGTCGTGCCTCATCCACAACCACCGCCCACCGCAACACACTTTCTATCTTGATTTGGGGGTTAGTTTCCTTTGCTTTTGCTTTTAAGAGTCACACAAGTATTATTTATATTTCTTTCTGTTTCGATGGCTTTTAGTATTTTTCAAAATTGAAGTTAATCAATTACTTGTTGGAGGCTGTGCCTAGGAGTTTTTCCCATACGCCACATTGATGATTGATTTTTTTTTTTTTTAAATGTTTATGATGGTGTTTGTGATTTTATTCAAGGTTTATATTTTATTCGGTTTTAATATATATATATATATATATATATATATATATATATATATATATATATATATATATATATATATATTAAACACACAACTAAGTATAATTACTTTATGGTATGATCCATATTTTTTATGTTTAACTATTAGTACCATTAACACAAGTTTATTTTTATGGTTTACAACATTTTAACTTTTTCGGGTATTACCTGTTTCGGCCCTCTTCCTAATATTGTTTGTGTTCCGCCCTGTAAATGAGTTTTTTAAATTACAATACTAAAGAAAAAAGTTTGGTGACACAATAATAAATTTTATTCCAAATTTATAAATAAAGATCTAATTACAATAAGATCATTGAAGCTGTTTATATAAACATGGAAAAAAATGTTAATATTGTTTTATATTTTTTGTGTCAAATTTTATTAAACATTATTTAATACAATATTATTCATTTTTTGGGAAAATATTTATGTCAAATTTTTAATTGATTTACTTGAATAAGTAAAATGAATTTTTTTATTTAAAATCAAAGTTTATTTCCATCCAATTTATGTGTTAAATATTTTATCAAAGGTTGTCAAGATCGGGATCCTACATAGGATCGTTTTTGGGTTTGCAAGATCGAGTGCGGGATTCTAAGATCCCACAAAATAAAATATAATTTTAATTTATAATTTTTAAACATGAAATTTTTTTCAAACATATAATTTTTCGTTCAAAAGTTATAAAACCTTCAAAATATTAGTCATAAGTTATAACACAAAATGATAAAAGGTAAATCAGTAAATGGTAAAAGACATACATTAGTAAAAATAATTTTTATTTGCAAAAAAAAAATCAAGGGAAAGTAGGATCGGATCGGATCTCGATTTTACGATCCTACCCCAAATACGATCCATTTACGATCCGGATCGTTTTTCATACCTAAGATCGTAGGATCGTGCGATCCTACAATCAGGATCGCAATTTTGACAACCATGATTTTATCCCTAAATACAATGTTTATATATAGATTTACGACCAAAGTTTCTTGGTTTTTATCAAATATATACGATAATTCATACCATTTTATTTTCACTTTATACAATAATACATAAAAGTTGATCAACAATTGTTAATTATCTATAATAAAGTCATAAAATTATTGAAAAACTCTTTGAAGTTTTTTAATAAGTTTAATTAGATTTTAATTTATTATAACAATTTGCAAATGTTAAAAAAGAAACAGTCTTCTTCTTTCAGACTGCAAACGTTTGGTTAATCTCTTCTACTGCAGAGGTCTGCAGATATGGTCCGCAGACTGCAAACATTTTGCCTCAAAAAAAACAAACAACACCTAAATATCGTTTTACCTGTTTACTAACAAATTTGCAATTAACAATAACTATGAATATTAATGATTAATTTACTAACATTAAAAGAATTCAATGAATTAAATGACAAAGCCTAATAAGCTAGAAAACAACCCAATATTCATCAAAACTTTTGGCATCCTACTTGAATTTGATTTATCTACTTATGTCCACGATGAAAAAGATGGAAACATGGGCTAAAATGGTTAAGTTTGGATTGCCAAACTATACATCGTCTAGTTTATTATATCTAGAAAATACATATGAAATTTATGACTCTATAGTAGTTTTATAATGTAACTTTAATCTTTTCTAGCACAAGGTACCTCAAAGTTTGTATTGTCCCAAAGTTCATGAGATTAGAGTTGAATTATCCAACTATATTTATCTTCTAATATCCTTGTGAAAAATATAGCTATGTAAATAATTGAGAAATTTGATCAATAATGGGGTAGAATTCATGAATTGATGTGGGTTGAAACTCTTTTTATCCAATCTATCTATTTTAATAAAACATTTCATTTTCTTCACATGCCTCTTTCACATTCGTTTTCAGCTATTAATGTTTTTACCTTTATACCTTCACGTTTTTAGTTAATATTTCTGAAATCATTAATGTGGATAACTCATTTCCGGAATTGTAGGATACTTTATATACAACAACTTTTAAAACAATTGGGAATTATATACGGTCACATGTAACATGTAATTAACAATATACCATTCTTTCCATCCATATAATCCATTTCATACTCTTTTTTATTATATATATATATATATCCGGTAAGAAATTTTTTTTGGTAGGAAGGTAAGAAATTTTTTTTCTACATATTTTTTTATGAACAAAATAAATGAATCATTAGATGATTCATTTGTAAGATGATTCACAAGAAAAAATTCCTAAAAAAACATCTTTATGATTCATTTTTAAGTAAATTAAGAAAAAATTCATTTTTATGATAATTTTAGTGAATAACAACAAAATCATTATATAAATGAATCATCGAGATGTTTTCTTTGAGAATTTTTTCTTGTGAATCATCTTACAAATGAATCATCTTACAAATGAATCATCTAATGATTCATTTTGTTTGTTTGCGAAAAAAATATATAGAAAAAAAACTTCTTACCTTCCTACCAAAAATTTCCTTCTTATTTGATATTAACTCTCTTTCTCTCTCTCTCTCTCTCTCTCTCTCTCTCTATATATATATATATATATATATATATATATATATATTGTAACTGGTCTGCTCATTATGATAAATTAATTTTTATTTTTTTTATTGCATACCTTATTGAACTAATTACCATAAACATTCTTCAATTTGGCCTAAATTACTTCTTTAACTTTGAGCATTCAATATAGAATCCCTAAAAAAAAGTGATAATAAGCTACAAAATTATATAACCTTCAAATCTTATATCCAAAACTATTAACTTCAAATTTTTTTAAAAAAAATCTAGCAATTAATATTCACAAATACAATTTCAACCATCATATATTCTATTTTAAAAGAGATTTCAATTGATTATCTTGCTCAAGATCACTATATTTGCAATATATATATATATATATATATATATATATATATATATATATATATATATATATATATATATATATATATATATATATATATATATATATATATAAACCTCTTAGCAATCGATTTACAAAGATTTTCTGTTGCAGATCCTATGCAAAAAACATAAGCAAAAGAAGATACGCTTCTCATCATTCTATTTTTAAGAATAAGTGTATGTCCTTCTTCCTTAAAGGAGTGTTTGGAATTGTTTTTTAAACAAAAAAAATCTTTTTTTAGAAAATAACTTTTTGATTTATGTCTTTTTCCAAAAGAAAGATTTAAAATGTGTTTTTAGGGTGTAAAGGGGAAAAACCAAAAGTTACTAAAAGTAACAAATGTGTGACTTTTTAAACACTTACTTTTTCTTCTTATCAAGAAGTTAATTTAAAAGAATTTTTGAAGTTACCAAACAACTTTTTTAACTTTTGGCTTTTTATAAAAGTCAAAAGTCCAAAAAGTCATTTGAAAAGAAATGTCAAACACCTATAAGTCCTTTTAATATGTGTAGAATACTTTTTTTGATTTTATATATTTTTCTTGATGTATAGGTTACCATTCAAAAGAACATTTCATGTTTGAAAACTTTCCCCATCACCTATTTGTCT